CGGTGGAGTCTGTGTTCTCAAAGGAAATCTCGAACTAGGCCTTGAGCCAAAATGGCTTGAGCCAACGGCTACGGACGTTGTCCCCAGAATATGGTTTGACTATTCTTGAATATTCCTCCTGTGGAGGGACATGCCCGACTTAACCCGAGCACGAGGGACCTGAAGGGTACCCTTCGAGGGCGAGCGCTGCTCTCAACCCTCGTGCCAGCGCTACGAGGAGAAGGAGCGGCGGCGAGCATACAGTGAGGGCACTGGAGGAGGAACCCGTAGACCAAGAGTCCGGGGTCTGGGAGCCCAATAGGCTCCCAAGAGAGCCCCAAGGAGGGGCTGCAGAGCGCCAGCGTCAGCGTCGTCGTCGTCGCCGCCGCCACCGTCCCCCTTAAGGATCGGCGGCACCGGTCGTAAGGCCTTCCCAATAATCTGGGCTCTGGAAGCCAGTGGAACACCGAGCGAGGCTTGGCCCCAGATATCACAGCCGCCCTCATCAGGTCAGGAATCCCCCAGTGTCTGAAGCCTCCTGCGCACATTCATTGGAGAACGCCCCCAACGAAACAGTACCTCATCGAGGGCGAGCGGCTAGCGTTGCTCTTTTCCCTCGTGCCAGCGTTAAGAGGAGGAGGAGCCGCAGCAGCAGCATCAGCAGCAGGATCGGGAAGGCTATCGGGACCAGAAGGGACAGAAGAAGCAAGAGCAGCAAGAGCAGCAGTGCATTGCGCAGTCATCGTTCGCAAGAGAACCGTGCCGCTTTAGCCCTTCATGATGTGGTATTAAAAGATACGAGCGGTCAATATGGGGCAAATCCAGTGGCACAACAACCCACAAGCACACGTGCTGCGTCAGCCTCCAAACGAGGCCGGCTCGAACGAACGGCACTCTGGTGTTGGGCAAGCCTCCGTTGCATCCCGGGCAGCAAGAGCAGCAGCAACAAGAGAACGCCGAACAGGCCCCCAGAGGGCCCACAGAGGCCTCCAGATGCAGCCTCATCGGTACGCCCTGAGGCCCCGTGTCCTCCCCCACGTCCTCCTGCTCCTCCGCGTCCTCCTCCTCCGCCTCCGCCCCCTCCCCTTCCTCCTCCTCCTCTTCCTCCTTCTTCTCCTTCTCCTCCTCCGCCTCCTCCTGTTCCTCCTTCTCCTCCTCCTCCTCCTCCTCTTCCTCCTCCTCCTGAAGCCCCTCAGAGGTCACCGATGCATGCATGATTTGTTTTGTCAGCAGCGAGGGCGGGCGCACGAGCGCGTTCGGACCGCTGGCGGGCCGCGCCGAAAGCAGGTATGCACTTACACAAACGCACGCGATGATGCCACGACTCCACACCATATAGTAGGGGTTTGAGACTACAAGAAACCTTCCACCAGAAACCCAACCCTGAGACCCCAGGCCGACCTCTGATTTTTGGTGCGGAGACGTCACGCTTTCCACGGCGACGCCATCGAAACCCAAGAAACCGAAGGCACCCTGGGGGGCAAGCAGGGTGCTTCTTAGCACGGAATTCCACTGCATACACACAACGCAACAGCCACACAACAGCATTACTCCCGCAGCGTTAAACAATGCCACGATGCTTCCCCAAGCATGGTGGCGGGCACACGCGGCAGCGCAAGCAAGCACCCCCAAAAAACAGAAGAAGCGAGACCAGACCTCATCGTGTACAGGACTACAACCACGCGCGCCACGCGCGCGCTTAAGTTCTAGTTGGCTTCAAAGACACTGTCCATTGGCATTACGTGGTATTCGGGATGCCAGGGGAGATGTTCCCAAGCCTGGACCTTCTTTTAGGTCGGGCATGTCATCCTACAGGAGATTTTTGGACGATTTTTCAAGCATCCTACAGGAGGTGTTTGCAAGTTGATTGTAAGTCAAGAACAGTCAAGAAATCGTCCCCTGGCTTGTTTTGATTATTGTTTGGCCACTCCTCCTGTAGAGGGACATGCCCGACGTAAACCTCCTCCCTCTCCTCCCCGGGAGGAGGGGTGGGGGCCTCTGGACTCCGGGGAGCGGGCGGGTCGTCCGAGAAAACCGCGGGACGCGCTGGCCGAGGAGGGCCTTTGCCCATCCTCACTACGCGGGCTCACTGTATTCGTACCAGTCCTCTGCTCGACGTTTCGGATCAGAGATGGTTTGGTCATGCGATCCTGGTGCACGTCTCTGATCATGCAAGCGTGCCGCGCTTGCGTGGAGTGCCAGCCCGCCCTAGCCTTCCCTCGGCGGCGAGCGAGGGGGGGAAGCGAGAAGGAGCCGGCCTTCTCAGAAGGCTCCGAAGTCCCCCCGCTGTCCGAGAAGACTTCCGCGCCTTCCCCGAAGACACCGAGACACCTATCAGAGGGCGCGAGTGTGTCTGAGGAGTCCCGTCTCGCTTCCCCCCCTCGGTTGCCGCCGGTTCTTCGACGCTGCGCTGCCCTTGCCTTTTCACTCCACGCCCACGGCGGCCCCCGCCCGAGCGAGGCAGGCCCGCGAAAAGGTGGCGGCCTTGCGGGGGATCAGCTCCTCGGCGCGGGGGAGGGGGGGGGGCGGCTGCGGGGGGCCTCCAGACGACGCCCGCAGGGGCTGGGCGAGCAAGTCACGCGAGGGAGGCGAGGGACTTCAGTGGAGGCCCGACCACGAGAGACCTTCCACAAGAAACCCGATCCTGAGACCCCAAGACGCCCACTGGTATTTAGTGCGGGAGCGTCACGCTCTCCATCGCAAAACCATTGAAGCCGAAGAAACCCAGGGCACCCTGGAGGCAAGCAGGATGTTTCTTGGCATGGGTCTCCACTGCACGAAGTGGCGAAAGCAGGACTGAGAAGTTTGATGACTGCACACGCAATGCCCGTTTTCGCCAGCTGGGGCGCTCGGCGACGATGCCAGAGGCAACGGGCGAGAAGTGTGGCCAGCCAGATTCAAAGGATAAGCTCCTCAGTGGGTACAGTCAAAGTCTTGGCATAAGAACACGAGGTAAGGAACGAAGCCCTGTGGGGCATCCTTTGCGCCTACATGCAAGACGAGCACTAGAGGAAAGCCAGTGGAAGGACTCAAGAAACAGAAGGCCCCCTCCAAAACCAAAGTGGACCTTGTCCCAATTGTTTGGCAGCTCAGCCAAGACGTGAGCGCGGGAGGAAGAAATCGCCAGGCGCCGCAGGAGGGGGCGATCACCCAGAAACCGACTGCCCCGCTGTGCGTGGGAGGTCGACCCCTGGGGCAACCAGCGTCGGGTCCAGCGGCGCTCGCTTCCCCCGACCACCCATCCAACCCTGCCCCACACACACCCAGAACCCTTCCTCCCGTCCACTCCCAAAATACACAGTTTGAACTCTACTCGCCTCTGTCCCCTGCCTCTGTCTGGTGGCAGATGTCCCGCCCTCTCCGCGTGCGGGTTTTTTACACAAGGGACTCCAGCCAATGGTGTTCCTAATATGTTGTTACGTGTTTATTTCCGGTATTTCAGCATGGTGTTCCCGCAACAGCATGGTCCTCAGATTCGGATCGGCGCTTTACTCCCGTCGTTCAGAATGGCGCTCTCGTCCCAGTGCGAGCCAGCTTTCTCGATCCGACTTATTTTTGCCATCATTGTCGCCCCACTCATTTCCCCTCCTCCGCTTTCCCCTGGTCCTCCTGCTCCTCTTGCTCCTTCCACACCAGTTCCTGCTGCTGCTGCTGTTCGTCCTCCTTCTCCTCCTTCCTTATCCTCATCCTTTTCCTCCTGCTCATCTCCTCCTCATCCTCCTCCTCCTCCTCTTACTCCTCCTCTTACTCCTCCTCCCCTTTTCCGATTACGCATAACACGATGAGGTCTTTTTTTGAGTTGAGGTCGGCTATGACACGCGTGAGCGGATAGAGAAAATCGCCGCAACGGGAACAGATGGGAGGGAAGGATTGGATGTCAGATGTGAGGCGAGCGCACCTAGCTCGCCCCTCCATCCTCTCTCCCTCTCTCCCCCTCTCCCTCTCCGCCCATCTCCGCCCATTGCCCCCGCCCTCCCACCCTCCATGTCTCCCTCCGTCTCTACGTTTGCTCCATCTGAGCACGGCTCCCCTCGCTCCTGGAGCAACGCACCGTCGTGCTCCCGCCACCCTCGCGCCTCGACCTGCGCACGCGGACACGCGAGCCGGAGTGCCCCTCCGGGCGTGCTGCATCGCAGCGTGGTCGGCCCTTCACGCACGGTGCTCCCCGCTGCAGAGCTGGCCGCGTGCCGGGATCGGTGCGCTCCCCCACCGCCGTTCGGGAGCCCGCTCGCGCCCCCGCGCTGGGACGCGCGGATGGATCCGAGTCGTTCCTCGTCGCTGCCGCCCCCCGGCCTTTTCCCGTTCCTCCGCCCGCTGGTGGTCTCTCTGCTCGTGCCTGCTCCTCTCCTCTGCGCCTCCTGCCCTCTGCTCCTCCAGCTCCTCCTCCTTCGTGGTCCTCCTCTCCATCCTCCTCCGCCTCGTGCTCATCCGCCTCCTGCTCCTCCCTGTCTTCCTCCTGCGTACGAAGCCCTCCATCCCCGATTGCTCAGCAAACGATGTCTAACTCCCAGCAACACCACCTTAGGCATCAGGATCCTCTAGGACGCCCGAGCTGACTGACAAAACGGGTTCAACTCGATAGAAATCCCTGCGCGGGAGTTTTTGACTTGAGATGTGGCGCGAGCGCACGTACCTTGACAATTACACAAACCGAGCATTATCCACTCCCTCCCTTGACAAGGTGTTGATTCGCCAGCACCTCTCCCACAGACTGCTCTTCCCAAAGGAAGCTTAGCTGTACGACTCTCCCTCCCTCCCCTCTCCCGACCGTGCGGTGGATTGTGTGAGCTGGTGATGGGTAGTGATCCGACGGTTGGTGGCGATGATGGACAGGGCAGCAGTGGCAGCGGTGCGGTGACGGTGGTGGCTGATTGGGGCGGCGACGGTGAAAGCAGCAGTGGTGATGGTGACAGTGGTGGGTAGTCATGAAGAGGACGGTGAAGGCAGCAGCGGCAGCAGCTATGGAGGCGGGAACGAACGTGGTACGTCATCAAAAAGACGCATCCCAGGTGTGTGAAGACAGCTCCCCTGTCCTTCAGCTCGTCATCCGAAAGAGGTGGTCTGCCAACGACCTGGCTCTTCAGGCCGTAGTGGGCGTGATCTTCGGAGAACGAAATGCCTGCCAGCGAGGCCGCCAACGAAGGGCAAATATGGCATCATCTTACACATGCAAAGAGACAAATTTGCCGATCGTAAGACACGCCAAGGAAGGGTCGGACAAGCAACGAGGAGTCATCGCCTGGGACTCTCACAGAATGGAAATCACTGGGAGGCCCCACGAAACATGTTTGGAGAACCGGCATGCGACGATTGCGAATCGAGACAAGTTTTACAAAAGCTTGCGACCGGCAAGGACTGTGGCTGGCGTTGGAGGCCTGACCGCTTTCAACGCTCGGGCGCGCCGTCGTCGTCGGCGTCGTCGCCGTCGGCGTCAGAATCGTCGTCTTCGGCATCGTCGTCCTCCTCCTGCGAATCTCACCAACTCTCTTGGCTTGCAGATCGAGGCGAGCAAAAACTGCGGTGGGGCTGCGGCGCGAGCCGTCTTGCAGGCACCCGGGCGAGGGACGCCTTCGCAAGTCTGCGCAGAACATGCCTCCGGAGCGTCCGCGGAGAGCTCCGGAGGCGCCGAGGGGTCGAGCGCACTCGGAGGTAGAGTCGCGAGAGCTGCCTGCCGGAGCAGCGCCCCGCCGGGGCAGAGCCATCGAGACACCAACGACCTGCCTGCTCTCCGTGCAGACCGCTCGGGCACCTCCAGAGCGAAGTGCCAGAAGGGCTTACGGAGGCAAGGCCTCTCTGCGGCGGAGGGGCCTCCCCCCGGTCGTACACCCGTGCATCTCTATCTCTCTTGGCTCTTAGGGAACGCCAAGGACAGAAACATGCGCGCATTCCAAAAAGACAATTATCCTGGCGGAGGACCTAACATTGTGCAATTGTGGATACTGCGGGTGTGAGCATCGTCTTCGGTGGAGCTCCCTATGGGGCCACGAAGCGTGCGAGGGGTGTGCCTTCATGGGTGCGGGGCCGCCATGCGGACACTGCCGCTGGGGCCTTCGGTGGAGCTCCCGATGGGGCCACGAAATGTCTGAGGGGTGTACTGAATGGATGCGGCGCTGCCATGCGGACTGTGCCACTGAGGCAATCGGCTTTCGGGGCGACGAAGCGTGTGAGAGGCGTGCCGAAATACGACACCGATGGGGCCACGAGAGGTGTGAAGAGCGTGCCGAAATGAGACACCGACGCCATGCGGACCCTGGCAATGGGGCTTAAAATGGAGCTCCCCGTGAGGCCACGAAACGCGTGAACGGGGTAAGGAGAAGAGAAAATTGAAGCACACAAGTGCGGACAGGGAAAGCGGGGCGCGCGCCAGGCGCTTGAGGCCGGCGCTGCAGCGAACCGAAGCGAGGGACAAGCAAGAGGGGCCCTCGGCGTGCGAGGAGACCCACTGCGCAGGCGTCCGAGCCCAGAGCCACGCAGCAGGACCTCCTCCTCCTCCTCCTCCTCCTCCTCCCCCTCCTCCTCCTCCTCCTCCTCCTCCTCCTCCTCCTC